GTTGATACTTGTCTACAGAGTTTAAGAACTATTTTCATATCGAAAATTAAAATATAGGAATAATTTTAATATTTTTTGAAATTAAAGAATAATTTTAATACAAATCTAAAAGTTGAGAGATGTAATTAGTATTTTAAAGGACATAAAAGCCGGGGGAGGAGGGGGGGCATTTGGTCTGAATTTTGTCGGTCATCAACTGTGAAGGTATGAAAATTCTTTCAACCAATTTATGAAGGTATAAACTTTACAACCAACCTTTGATGAGAACCCCAAAGAGAACAATGAGACCCACAGCACGATAAGGGATTTCTAAACTCCAGGAAAGCTAAATCAGGTTTATGATAGGACCTTGATCTATTGTTTATGTCGCAATAAGAACCAAATGTAAAAACCTTGACCCGTTGTCTATAACGTAACAAGAACCAGAGGTATAAAATTGGTTGACGCCACATCCTCGAACGATTAAGAACGAGGATGATAACATTGATAAGTCAGGTTAGAACGCTACAAGAATAATCTTGATAAGTTCTGTAAAGTTCTGAAACGAACCAAAGAGAAAAGTCTCTCAAAATCTCAGATTCAATCCTCCCCAATTAGGGTTACAAGCCCCTTTAAATAGGGAAAAGTAATTCTAATCAGAATAGGAAACTAACACCCTAAGCCCTAATCATAATAACCACGAATTGGGCCTTAAATAAATGAATGTTCAGCCCAAAATAATATAAAAAACGTGAAAATCACTAAAAGTAGCCTAAAGTAATATGAAATATCAGTTTGTTACAAATTGCGACAAAATTGCGAGATTGACGCAAACTGGGTAATTTACCATAAATGACCTCAATTAAGCTTCTCTTGAACTTGAACGATGTTTATCATGCCTTGATAATCATCCAAGTTTCGATTTTCTTGTTGTATGTTGTTTTCAACCTAGATCTGCTCAATAGGACCATTTAAAGCTTCACGCATCTTCTTAGCTCTAGCTCGCGTGACTGAACCTCCTTGGGTGTGTAATGGATCACATGACATAGTAGATATGCTGTCGTCTTGATTCCCATCAACCTTCCTCGACTAGCATTTAGTAAAATTTTTTTTAAAAATATTAATAAAAAAGGGAGCGTACAATGTTATCTTCTTACCAAATAAATATAAGAAAAAACTAATAATTTAAGCAATTTTTTTAAAATAAATTTAATGTATTGAATGATAGATTATATGATGAAAAATATATTTTTTCTTAAAAATCTATCCTCAGTTAATTAAATTTAAAATTTAAAATTTTTAATATAAAAATTTAAATTCTTATTTATAAATTCAAACGTTTTCATCAGTACATTTTTTTTATGAAGTGTTCATAAAAAAATGTGCTTTTAAGAGTTACTAATTTTTCCAACAAAATTCTTTCAGCAACTTTCTCAAATGAAACATTTTTAGGAAAAACTTCCCACGCACCAAACAGACCCTTGATTATTAGACTGAAATATAAAGAGAATGTTTACCGGAATTTAAAAAGTATTTATTTAAAAGATAAATTATTTTCTCTTAAATTTAAAATTTTATTAAAAAGAAATTTTAAAAATTGCTTTAGAAGTAACTTTTAAATAAATTTTGAGAAATTTATGTATTTAAAAATTTTTTAAACTTAAAGATATTTTTAAATGTTAATTTTTAATTTATAAGAAAATTTTTATTTTTTGGGGTTCGCCGAAACCGTCAACAGCACTTCCGATCAACCAAATCCTTGTCTGTCGTAGCATCGTCTGTCCAGGGAAACTCACTTTACAATTTACACTGCCAGTGCCAACACACAAAGATTTCTACAAGTCACATGCAATGAACATTCTTCCTTTTTCTTTTTTGGTAAGATTTCCACGAAGCCACGTGCAATGAACTATTGAACAAGACATCATGGCAAAGTGTTTAAAAATGAAAGTACGAAGGTTTTATTAATAATAATCTAATTATATAAAAAGTTTCTAAATGCCTAATGAGGTCATTGCTATGTTCACATAAAAAAATTATTATTATTATTATTTTTATTTTAATTGCACAATGAAAAATAATTATTTTTCGTCTCTTATCTCACCCCATCCACATGTCATGTGATTTGAATTCAAAATTTTTTACTTTTAACGAAAAAAAAATCAACATCAAATTATTTAAGTTGTTGGCACACAAAAAATTATTAAGGTCAAAAAAATAATATAAATATATTTAATTTAATTATTAAGAGTATTTTTTAATTTAATTGTTAAAAGTAATTAATAATTATAATCATTAACTATTAATAATTGTTTGGGTAGCTTCACAATCCAACACTGTTGAAGTCCTCAGCTGTTTCCACACCTGTAAATCCCAAGGATGTTTCTTCGGAGAAAACACTCCGACGCTCAAGTCAGCAATACTCGATATTCTAGAGAGAGAGACTCTCAAGGAGTAATTGCAGAGAGAGAAGCGTAGAGATTAATTACCTTCTTCAGAGGTAGTTGGGGGTATTTATAGCCACAAGTGCTGACAAGCATCTACACATGTAAGCCTTTCATTGGCCCACGTTTTATTGCCCACGTGAGCATATCCCATCATCTTGGGCCAATGGATGTGTGGTTGGGCCTATATCACGCGGCCTAAAGTGGATATTGGGCCCAATCTCAACAATAATAAATAATATTTATTATTTAATAATTTAAAATTAATTTATAAAATAATGCTTTTGAATATTTTAATAATTATAAATTAACAAAATTAAATAAATTAAATATATTTATAATATGTTATGTAATTATAACATGAACCATCCTCAAACCAAGTGGTTGGCAGTTTTAACATTAAAATTTCAACATTTAAATTATAAGGTCAACTTTATGAAAGCGGGATTATTCCGGCCTTTATGGTTTTGTTGTTCCAATAAGTTCTTTTAATCTGATCCTCATGTTCTGAGTCAGTAGTTTAGATCCTAAATTAGTGGAAATCACCCACTATAAGTTGCATTTTTTAACTTTATAAATCCCTTTATTCAATTCCCATTTACTTAAATATATACTAATTTACGTTTGTTCAAAAAAATAA